TGCCTCATTGAAACATATCTCAACTTCAATTCTGATTCAAAAACAGCAAAACAATTCTTTCAGCTCAAATACTAAAACATAATTTTAATCACTCTCAAAGACAGAACTGCCTAAATAAGAATAATTTTCCAATAAATTTAACCGTATTCTGCGGTCTCGGATCCGCCGCGATTGGTGGTAAAGCTCCGCGCCCATTACTACAATCTTCACCTAACACTGGCGCTATCGATGGCGCTGTTGTGGCCGATTGCTGTGCCGTTGTCACTGTCGCTTTTTTATTGCGTCGTTTACTGGCCAACATTGTTTTTGCCGTACTCGACAGTGCGATTCTCAATGGTTCTTCAATGCTTTCTGCTAAAATTATTTCACTTAATTAATTATATATTTACTCATCGTCAGCTAATTATTGCACGTATCGCACATAAGCCTGTTCAAGATCACTCCATTGATCACAATTGTTAATTGCTGATCACTTTTATCACAGTTAATTGCTCTTCTCATCCATTTTTCATATTCTTTGAATTATCTGCTAAAATTATCTCGCACCATAGTCTCAATTCCAGAACCATCGACACGGATCAAAAAATGTGATGTTATCCCCTGTTCCATCTCACATTACTGATTATTCAAAACCATCAAGATTAGGGGTGATAGTAATTCACTTACTTCAAATTTCCCGAAAACCATTATATTTGCGATGAATTTCGACAGCAAAATTCTTGGATCAAAGTTATAAAAATTCTCGAAAATCATACACGCCCACAAGTCATCATATCAATTAACCACCCATCTATTATATCGCTGACGATAAAACTAAATGTAATTAGATATTTGCTGCTGCTTACCGTTATCGTCAGTAGTTGAAAATTCCAATTTGAAAAACGGTGCACTCTTCTCAATTTCCAACCGTATAATTATTGGTGTTATTTCGCTCATCAGCTGAATTTGGTTTTTTAGGAAAAACCACTGAAAGCACACAAATACAAATATTCGTGCGGAATTTTGCGGCGAAACAAACGAAAATCCTTTCAACTGAACAAAACAAATAAATGTAAATGTTCACATCCATAAACGGCAGATATATTGTTGACTGTCACTATGTTGAACAGATATTGCATATGCACTGCAAATTGCATACGAAAACAAAACCGAAGAAAAATCACCATGATTTATTAAAAATCACCTTGATTAATTCTCACTAAAATAAGTTATACAGCCAAAATCAGTGAAACTAATAATCAGCTACTACTGAACTGCTCAGATTACACCGACTCGCAAGTGATTCTTACAACAAATCAAAAAAA